CAGAGATACAGTGTGCATATTGATGTTGTCGAAGTATCTCCACTTGCCTATTGTTCTCATTATTTGTCTTTTGGAGTCGTCTTATATGGTCCGTGCGATCGTATCTGCTATAGCTGTAGGCATGTCAGATGCTAGAATGCGGAGTTACAGTGTAAACATAGTCGGAGTCGAAGTTTCTTGTTCTGCCTGTTGTGTGCGTTATACCCGCATCGATGTCGTTTTTTATGATCGTTGCGAACATATATGCTCCAGGGGTATCTATGTGAGATGATAGAATACAGAGATACAGTGTGCAGACTGATGTTGTCGAAGTATCGTTACTCGCCTATTGTTCTCGTTATATGTCCTCCGAAGTCGTCCTATATGGTCAGTGCGATCGTATCTGCTATAACTGTAGGCATGTCAGATGCTAGAAAGTGAAGCTCCAGTGTCAATATAGTCTAAGTCGGAGTTTCATGTTCTCCCTGTTGTGTGCGTTATACCAATTTCGATGTCGTCACATATAATCGTTGCGAACTGATATGCTTCGAAGGTATCCATGTGAGATGATAGAATACAGAGATACGGTGTGCGAACTGATCATGTCGAAGTATCCTCACTTGCCTATTGTTCTCGTTATATGTCTTTCGAAGTCGTCCTACATGGTCAGTGCGATCGTATCTGCTATAACTGTAGGCATGTCAGATGCTGGAATGCAAAGTTACAGTGTGAACATAGTCGAAGTCGAAGTTCCTTGTTCTGCCTGTTGAAGGCTTTATACCCGTTTTGATGTCGTCTCATATGATCGTTGCGAAATGATATGCTCCAAAGGTATCCATGTAAGATGATAAAATAAAGAGATACAGTGTGCATACTGATGTCGAAGTATCTTCACTTGCCTATTGTTTTCTCTATATGTCCTTCGAAGCCATCTAATATGGTCATTGCGATCGTATCTGCTCCAACTGTAGTCATAACAGATGCTAGAATTCAGAGCCACAGTGCAAACATAGTCGAAGTAGAAGTTTCTTGACCTCCTTGTTGTGTGCGGTATTCCCGCTTTGATGCCGTCTCATATGGTCTCCACGATCTATTCTGCTCCAATAGTATCCATGTGAGATGATAGAATGGGGAGATACAGCGTGCACTCGTATTTATCCTCCCAAGTCGTCTTTATACGGTCAGTGCGAGCGTATCTGCTTCAACTGTATGCTTGTCAGGTGCTGGAATGCAGAGTTGTATTCCTCTTGGCAGCCTCCCTTGGCATGCGCGATGTTTCACGAGAATGATAGGCATTTTCTTCAGTGCGCTTCAAGTGATGAGAGAATAATTATCTGAAACTCATCATAGTGCCGAACATTTGAATAACATATAACAATTATGAATAACCTTCATAGACAAAAACATTCTAACAGGCTATCATGCATTACGGAAAATCATATATCTTTTGTCAGGTGAAATCTCAACCAATTGAAATCAAACAGTATACAATACCCAGATCCATCACGAAAGTTTCTACATAAAAACTTGGATTTTAATTCCAGACATCATGCTACTCTACAAAATACAGATACGACCTGTTTTGAAATGCTGTCCCCTCCACATATGGGGTTCAGCAACC